GTTGCCTCCGTCAGTTTGACACAAACTGTTCCGGGAGGTTTTCCTTTCTTTTTCTTAACCTTTTACTGGGAATGGGATGAAGGCTTACAAAGCAGATTGTGGTTTTACATTCAACAATTCGGGCACATTCTCCTTCAACTCATCCATTGCAGGCCCCTCCAGGCACATCACGTGTCCCACTTGCTCCCTGGTTGTGTGTTGCTTCCGTGCTGTCTTCATTCCTAATCTTCTGAACTTTGTTCTTGGATAAATGCTACCCTTTGGGTAGCATTATCTATTTTAATGCTGAGGCTAGTTCAGGTGATACCCGAAGGGTGACTAAGGGTCATAGTCTTGGTAATCCCACCATTTATCTGACCAGCAAACTAGATTTGTTTCGTTTTGGTCCACCTTTTCCTCCCATTCTATTCAGAACCTTCAAATGTACTTCTTAGAGCAGTAGGAGTGGAAGCCGGGCACCATCTCGCTCTTTGGATCTCAGGGTTGTGGTGACTGATGCTTGGGTCGTTCATTAGTCCATCGAACTAATTATTTCCACGTGTCTTTTGATTTTCATCAGTTGTATCTCCTCTGGATCAGAGGAGAAAAAGAGTTACACCTAACATGACTGCTCGCGAGCGTTTAACACTCCAGTTTCGACTCAGTCAATTAGGAATGTAGAACATCGTCTTTGTGACTTATGTCGATTTACCTTGGCATCTCCAAGACGATGGACCTGATTCCCTAAGCCCAGTGACTCAGTTCTTCAAGGTGTTTGGCTGTCAAAGAAGTTTTCACAACTTTGCCCCTTGTATGTGCCTCCATTCATAGGCATACTGGGAGAAAAAGTCAGCGTAGCTATACAAATGTACTCTGTCAAATATAGATATGGTACAATCCCACTCGCTTTCTCCCACCTCTTCATCCTGCATGTCTATCCAAGCATCTGCTCATAGATCCCCACTGGTGCAGGATTGTGTATACAATAGCATTTGCCTCTGTCGTCTTTAGCTCTCACAAACCTCCGAGTGTTTTACTCTGCCCTCCATCATTTTTTTCCTAACCTCTCATTTATTGAGCATTGATTTCCTCCATAGGAATTTCTTGATTTCACTGTTTGTGGAAGCAGATGGGTGTCTTTCTTCTGTGGCACCACTGTGTAGGTTTGAACCACCGAATTTTAGGTTAGTAATTGCGTGCAAGTGTTACCCAGCGACCCTCTCAAACTCAGCAGGCAATGCTAAAGTTCAGATATGTCAGTCCATAAATCTTCCAACACCAACAAAAGGATTCACTTGTCCCTCTTTCTAACTCTATCTACCTGGCCATTGGCAACTTGTACCCTTCTGCTTAGTGTTACCTACATGTTCACTAAACTAGTGTTCACCCAGCTAAGCATGGTGAAGCCCAAGAGGCATCTAAGATATACCAGCTACTGGGTAAATGAAGATCCTTCGGTAGCTGTTTGTCACCTACGAGAGGTAGTTCTTGCTCTCCTGTCACATGCTATTCGCTCATCTAACGCCATACTCACATCACAACATATAACCCAGATGTACTTACTATAGAAATGAGAACTTCCCCAAACTCTCCAATTAAAGTCCTTCTTTTTCTGGACTTGCACGAATTTATGTGTTACTTGATGTTTTTAGATGCAGTCAAATTGGCTCCCACAGCGATCCTATGTCCAACCGTTCCAAATACTACCTGGTCTTGTGCCGCCTTCATGTTTGTTGATATGCTTGAGCTCATTGTTGGAATCACGCTGTCCATTCAACTCAACAATGTACTTCCTCTTTTTGATTGCCTCTGACAATGTGTCCAAAGTACGTGAGAAGACATCTCACCATCCTCACGTCTAAGGAGCCTACTGGCTGTACTTCCTTCAGGACAGATGTGTCCGCTCTTCTAGCAGTCTATGGTCCTTTAAATATTCTTCAAAATTACCATAATTCAACCCATCAGTTCTCGGTGGTCTTATTTATTGCTCAGCTGTCACAGCGCATAAGGCTATTGAAAATATCATGGTTTGGGTCGGTCACACCTTCGTCCTCAAAGTGACAACTTGGTCTTCAACCCCTCCAATCCATCTTGTGCAGCACAAGTGCCTAGTGTAATATGCTATTCGATTTCTTGACTGTTGCTTCCATGAGCATTGATTGTAAATGCAATCCTTGACAACTTCTATCTTTTCTCCTTTGTTTTTGTCTATTGCTCCAGTTTTTTTTACCTTAACATTAAGTTGCAAGAAGTTTTCATAACTTTTCCCCTTGTATGTTTCACCACTCATGAACACACTTGTAGCAAAAGTAAATATACATATGCAATTATTCTGTCAAACTTGTTATGCGGGGATACCCTAAAAACCCACAATTGCACTGGGTGGAGCAGGGCTGTGAGTTAGTGCACCCAGTGACATTGCCTGGGAAGGTTCCCTCTGGTCACATTGAATTTTTCATAAAAGCAGTTTCCCTCGAACCTCGTTTTTTTGTGTGATGGCCGATTTAAGAGAACAGTGTGCAGCTATGAAATTTTGTTTCCTGTTCTGGAAAAATTCCGCAGAAATGTTCTGATGTTGAAAACAGCTTACAAGGACAGCGCTGTGGGAAAAATTCAAGTGTATGAGTGGTTTTCTCATTTCAAAAAACGTGAAAGGTCGATGGATGACAAACTTCATTCTGGATGTCTGTCAACTTCCCGAATAGATGTGAATGTTGACTTGTAGTGCAGTTGGAGTTCGTTCCAGTAGGTCAGACTATTAATCAAGCTTTCTAATTAGAGGTTCTGAATAGATTGCATAACAGCGTGTGACCAAAAAAGGGCATGATTTGTGGCAGACGGGGGACTGGTTTTGTCACCATGACAATGTACTAGCTCATGCAGCCATCTCAGTGTGACAGTTTTTGGCATGCCTCTCTTGCTCCATACACCTGACTCACCTGACCTCACTCCATGCGACTTCTTTTTGTTTCTGTAAATGAAGAGTGGCATGGAAGAACAGCGATTTGATGATATAGAAGAGATGAAGAAGAAAAAAAACCAACGAGGGAGGTGCTATCAGCCATGCAAACAGATGAGCTTGAAAAATGTTTCCAAGAATGGAATTGCATATTTGACAAATGTATTAAATATAATGGAGAGTACTTTGAAGGCGATCATATTGTTTTGTAAAACTATTAAAATCATAGCTTTGAGAAAATATTCTGTATTTTGGGGGGGTACCCCCTTGTGTGTGTTTATATATAGCTGTAGTCTTTGTTCTTCACCAGTATGTGCTTCCGGTCTTCCTTTGAGCAAGCAAGGCTGTGTCATCTGCATATCACAGGTTATTAAGGAGCCTGCTTTCAATAGTAATGTTGCATTTTTCTTCCTATAGTTGAGCCCTTTGGATGATTTGCTCAGCATGTAGATTAATAAGTATGATGAAAGGACACAACTCTGATATAACCCCTTTCCTGACTGTAAACTGCCACTCATGTGTCAATGTGTTGTACTGTGATGGCTTATGCATTGCTGTCATGTGGGAAGCTACGCCACCATCTTTCAAATCCTAGCAGGGTCACCATGGTGAGGAGGCTTCTGTGAAGCTTCGAAATTAAGAACTGACTACAAAGAAGGACTAGATTGTCCACTTCTTTGGGATTGACAAGTGAAAACCGTATTAATGGGAGGAGAACACTATTCGTTAGAATGCCAGAAGAGGAGCCCTCCAGGCCTCAGGGCAAGATTGCCTGCTCAAAGCAGAGTTGATTTTAATGATAAATAGTTGGCAAAACCTTTGGGATTTTCACTTGATCATGGGAACTTGACTCGACATGGGAAGAAAGAGCTGCAAACATCCATGAATAACTTGTTAGGTGCCATGGAGTCAGCACGGACCCACAGTGACCCTGTGTACAACATGCCCAAAGTACGTAAGACAGCCTTAGTGGGAATGTGCCGAGAATGAATCATATTGGGCTGAAATTGATGTGTACTAGCCTTTATTATATATTACTTAGCAGTTGATGCAATTAGTTGATGTCATTGTTTTCCTCTTATTAGATGGTGAAAACTTAAGAATCAGAACCTTTGTCTATTTGTCCTTTTACCAAGTCATACCATTCAAAAAACCAATTACCAAGGACAACCAATTACAGCGGGCATAGGGCTGGTCCTGGTCCTTAAGGTGTTCCTTCCCTCTCCCCAGTACTGACAGTTATTTGGTGTCAGCTCTTTAATAAAGGACAGGGGAAGGGGGGAAGAGCCAAGAATGGGAGACTCAGGACAGTTTGTATTTCCCAATTAATACAGAAGTAGTTCATGATATAGGCTCAATATCCATCTTCTTTATATTTCTGGAAGCAGTATATCTCATAGTTGGCATGCAGTAAACATTTCATAACAACCAAGACATATTTTATATCGCAACTGAAATAATGAATTATTTTATCAACCAGAGGAAGAGGGGAATCTAAGATTTGGGTTATATAGTGGATTTCTGTTATCTTTATCTTCCCTACATTCATTTCCCCTTTCATCTTACAGCAGAGATTGCTCAGCAAATGGACAAGTGGTCCAAATAGGTTCAATCAGACTCAGTTATGGGACTTTCACTTACATTCCTCCAACCTCTTCAGCCTTTCCTATTTCCCGCCTTGCTGGCTAATGTCAAGAGCTGCTTGTAGCCCTGACACCGTATGAGAGTGCCGTTCTTGCCCCATCTTGCCTCTTGAAAAGGATCCCACAGTGGCAGCAGAGAGCCAGTTTCCTTCACTTTGATTTAACCCCTAGATCCACCTGTACCTGAAGATCACCCTGCACCTGTCAGTTAAATGAGCCAACAAAATCCCTTTCTGGCTTATAAGATTTTATGGTTTTTGTTTTGTTTCACCCTTTTGAAACTACAAATCCAATCTCATTCAGCTGGAAAGATAATCTTCCATTAGGGAAAACACAAGTTTAGCTTTTTAATATATATGTGAGTATCGCTTAGTGTTTCACATCCTATGATACTTTGGCAGTTCATTTTGGTCACTTACCTTTCCCCAAGTAGAACATTTGATAGACTTATAAATGAAGGAAAATCCACTGTATTCATGACAGGGTAGGCATGGATAGGAACAAGCAAGGTGTCATCCCCCTAAAATAAATTGAAAAAATTGTCTACCATAGTGAAGATTAAAAATTGTTTAAGATACACAAATATTGGTAGATGTTTTATTTTCTAACATAAAAAAATTCCTTAAGGAAACATTTCAGTGAACTCAAGGACATTAGAAATATTGAGGTTTTTTTAGCCAGAAGCGTAGAATTTCTTTTCTTGATTAGGGTACAAATTTATCAAGTGGTACAGGATTTGAAAGAAATCGCCTTTTTTCAAGTTTTCAAACCAGTATTCTAGCTTTTTCCTAACATAGAATCTGAGTCGTAGCAATTAATACTTGAGGGTTACTGCTCTTTTAAAAATAGTTTTTAATTTTCAATATTAGTTTGCATGTCATACAATTTAACCGTATTAAATCATAATAAGAAGAGTTGTGCAGTCACCACCACAGTGAATTTCACATTTTCTTCTCATCCTCATTGTTGTTAGTCCCCCATTCCCCTTCATCTTCTCCTGGCATGCCCCGGGAAATTATTAGTCCAGTACCGTTTATATATATTTACCTATCCCTATACAGAACAATCATACAAAACACAAACAGGAAGTTAACAAAATAAAAAAAGCCAATGACAAAATAAAACAGAAAAATCTCAATAGAGAAGAAAGCAGAATCTACTGAAAACTGTAAATTTTAAGACTGGTCATAAGGGAGGTAAAGTGATAAGTGTTTACATTTTAAGCTAACTACATCTGCATAATTTATATTACACAGCTAGTCACATCCTAGGCCTATGGTTAGAGGGGATTCACCAGAGGCTTAATCCATATGGAGACCCTGAAAACAGACTTTGGGCTTCCACTACTATCCATATCCTTCTACAGAGTGCTCAGAATTTAAAGCTCTGATATAGTTCCCTCCTTTGGGCTTGGATTTTATTACTTGCAATCCTTGGCTTACACAAGCTAATGTGCTTCTTCCACGTGACCTTAGTTGACACTTAGATGGGTACTTGTTTTAAGACAAGCCTTTAAGATCCCAGGCACTATTCTTTCTGATAGCTGGGCACCATCCAGTTTCTTCACCAACTTTGCTACAGCATTCATATCTTCAGTGATCTCGTCTTGAGGGAGAGTATCTAGTGGCAGCATGTCACAGAACTATTGTTCTTAGATTGGGGCTGGACTTAAGTTTGGACTCCAGGTACATTCATACATCTTATGGTTTATACATGTCTCTGGTTCACTTTTCAGACGTCATTATCATTTTATGATAGCAAACATTATAAATCCTCCTCCTGGGGTATAAGGTGATTCTATGAGGGAGTATAAACAAACAAACAGAATTATAGTGGGTGGATTGGGAGTTAGTAGTACACATTTTCCCCGCTAGGTGAGCATTAAACAACTCTTTGAGTTAGTGCACTCAGTGGCGTTGCCTGGGAAGGTACTCTCTGGTCACAGTGAACTTTTTGTAAAACCAGTTTCACTCGAAGCTCATTTTTTGTGATGGCTGATTTAAGAGAACAATGTGCAGCTGTGAAATTTTGTTTCCTGCTCTGGAAAAATGCCTCAGAAACTGTTGTGAGGTTGAACACAGCTTACAAGGATAGCGCTATAGGAAAAACTCAAGTGTATAAGTGGTTTTTTCATTTCAAAAGAGGTGAAATGTTGATTGATGACAAACATCATTCTGGACATCCATCAACTTCCAGAATGGACAAAAATATTAACTCATGGTGCATTTGATGACATAGAAGAGGTGAAGAAAAAATGAAGAAGGTGCTATCAGCCATCCAAACAAATGAGTTTAAAAAATGTTTCCAAGAAAGGAATCGCAGATTTGACAAATGGATTATGTGTAGTGGAGAGTACTTTGAAGGTGATATGGTTGTTTTGTAAAAGAAACTAAATACATAGCTTTGAAAACAAAAACAAACCCTGGGTTTTTTTGGGGTACCCCATTGTATTCACAGTATCATCAATTTAGCCAATGGTGTAGTTTTTAAAACGCTGTTGAGAAAATTATATGTTTATAGGCTGGCTTTGCAGATCTCAGTAATGAACTCTTGACTTGCATAGATTAAATGCTGAAGTGACTGGACATAAGTTACAATGGGGTTAGTGGTAGGGAAAACTTTCAATATCACTCATTCACAGAGGCAGAAACATGCCTCCCAGAGACTAATATAGCATAAGAAAGCAAGGAGAATATTAACATAGCAAATATGTGCTGGTGTGAACCATCATTCATTGGACACTCTCAAAGCAAGAGGTCCAAACCAAAGTCCAGCAACCACCAATTCCATAACCTTGGGATAGGAGGTATCTACTTTCTCATACTACGGAGTTTCAGCCTGAAGCGCAAGAGAGTGTGTCGTCAGTTCCTTAAATTTGTTACAGGTGAGATTGAGGTAAAGTCCAGTTTGCTGAGTGGAGATTTCACCTTGACTCTTCCTGGTGTGGCCTCTGAAGGATGCTGTGTGTCTCCAAAAGAGAGTCTGACGTCACAGTAGTCTGTAACACACAGCCATGGTCACCAAGGACTGGGTAGAAACTAGGTCAAGTGTCTAATTAGGAACGTAGCACCAGGTGTATTCTCCTCTTGGGTGCTATGTAAGTACTGTTCAGTGTCACCCCCATCTCCCACACCCATGGGAGGTGGGAAGCTTACCCACCAACAGAAGTGTAATTGCCTTCTCTGACACATACATGACCCCCTCCCCTGCCTTGACTCGAATGTCCAGTGAGGCTGGTTGATCACTCTTGTAGGGTCTGTTGGTGTATGATGACCTTGGTACAATGTCGTGTGGTAGCAACGGGTCTTCTCCCTCATCCCTCATCTTGAGACACTGACCCCAGCTGAGGTGAACCCTCCTTCACCAAAGTGGTTTAAAGATAAATGTCTACAGGGGGGGATATATGGTTCGTGGGCACTCGGCAGGCTCTCTACTGTGTTGCTTGGGGGATTGGATTAGAAGAGTACCTGACCCAAGAGCAGAAGCCTGATTTGTCTTTATAGCAGTGGGCACTCATGCGATATTTGTCCTTTCATGATTGACTAACTTCACGCAGGGTCATGGTTTCCTGGTCCATCCATGCCACAAGGTGCTTCATGGCTGTGTTTTAGGGATGCACAGTATTCTGTTGTGTATAGGTACCATCCTTTCTTTATCCAGTCTTCTCCTGATGGGCATTTGGGCTGTTTCAAGCTTAGCATAGAAATGTTTAAGTGCACTTCTTTGAAATGATCATCACCAGTCAGGGAGGTGAACAGCTGTAGAGTTGACCTGTGCTCCATAGGTCTTTAGCAGGCTTTTCTTTAAAGGCACCTCTTAATTGACTCCAACCTCTAACCTTTTGTTTAGCTACTGAGTGCATTCATGGTTCCCACTAGCCAGCAAACGGTTCTAGTTCAATGGTTTTCATCTCAGAAGTTTGCAAAGAAACACAATTCTAAGTGACGTGACAGAGAAATCAGCGCACAATCAGTGCACCCGCTTTGCACTGAATATTAAAATATGAATGGGTAAGAAGTTACTGAGGCCTGTAATCCTCAAATAATGTGGGACCTGTAGCAAGCCTTTTAATTTCTGTGGACTTTGTTTCTTCTTTGGCAAAATAGGGATGCTTACACCTCTCCTTAGATTTGTTTATTTATCAGAATGAAAGCAGATGATTGATTTTGCAGGCCTAAAGTTCCACACAACTGTGAGAAGCTACTATTAGTATTAATAGGAAATTGATTAGACCAGTGGTTCTCAGTCTGTGGGTTGCGACCCCTTTGGGGGTCAAACGACCCTTTCACAGGGGTTGCTTAAGACCATCAAAAACATATATTTCTGATGGTCTTAGGAACCAAGACACCACTCCTCTATCCGTCTCTAGGCGTCTCTATCCGTCTCTAGATATGCCCACATATGAGTACCCGCCGTGAAGACTGTTACCAATGCTACACCATGCTTCAAGACAAAATTTCACTTATTTGTCATTAGAAATAAATATTTCACAAAATAATTACTTATTGTTTTTGTGAGTAATCACTGTGCTTTAATTATGTTCAATTTGTAACAATGAAAAATACATCTTGCATATCAGATATTTACATGACGATCCATAACAGTAGCAAAATGACAGTGATGAAGTAGCAATGAAAATAATTTTATGGCTGGGGGTCACCACAACATAAGGAACTGGATTAAAGGGTCGTGGCATTAGGAAGGTTGAAAACTACTGGATTAGACGGCTTGGCCCAGAAGGCAAAGAAAAAGGAGGTATAAAGCTGACAGTTTAACAAAAGGGCTGATAAGACTCCATGTTGGCTTTAGGTGGGAGTCAAGGAATGGATTAAGTTATCTAGACAAGGCTCCTAGGAGCTCAGAGAGCAGAGCCATCTGGGATTAAGCCACAAAGGCTCTCATCCCTGAAAAAGCCCAGGACCCCATCTGAGGACATTCCCGCAAGAGACACAAGCCAGTCTCCAACGTTTATAACCAAAGCTTGGGTTGTTGTTAATTTTTTAACAGAGCACTTAAGTTATCCTATGTGACAAAAGGTTTAGGGAATACGGCAGGTGGGTCTCTTGGCTCTGCCCAGTTCTCAAAAACTGAGCACTTCTAATCCCAAGTCATGCAGTCTTGTATCTCCCCCCAAGTATGAGTCAACTTGGTTAGGCCATGGTTTCAGTGGTCTGGTAGTTATGTCATGATGTGAACATATGCTGCGATGTGGTTGATGTGATCGACCAATCAGCTGTAAGGATATTAGTGTGAGATGTAATAGCCTTAAGCAGGTCACAGCCCTGGTCTGCTCTAAGGGGGGCTTCCCTGGAGTGCGGCCCGTGTCATCGTTTATCTTTCAAGAGCTAGAAGGAGCGTGAAGGAGAGCGGGCGGACTCCTACCACCAAGAGAGAAGATCGGGGAGTGGCTCGTGTCCTTTGTACCTGGGCTCCTGCGTTGAGAAACTAGACTCGGGAAGATGGGTGACAAGGACCTCCTCCTAGAGCCAACAAAGGAAGAGAGCCTTCCCCTGGGGTGGCACCCTGCATTTGGACGTCTCGCCTCCTGCGCTAGGAGAGAATGAGTCCCTGTGTGCTAGTCCTTTCTGTGTGACTCCTGTTACCGTGGCATTAGATTACCAAGACAGATGGTAACACCCAGGGGCTGTGTTTAGGAAGGTCATTCATTCATTTAATTTCTCTTTCGTCGCCCCTTAGGGATATTACCTCCTCAGCCCAGCCCGCCCCCGGCTGCACATTTAAAAGACTTACCTTGCAGTGAACTCGGATGCAATCATAATAGTAGCGCCATTCATCTGGAGAAAATGTAATGGTGACTGTGAGGGACAACCCGGGAACGAGATGGGGCTCCTGGAAGACAATTGGCTCTGGTCAGGACAAACTCCCCACCAAGTGGAGGGCAAGACTCTGGGAGGGCAGCCTGCCGTGCATCGCTTCCACACTGGCCCAGAAACATCCAACCCCACAAAGAGCACCAGGGAAAAGAGAGTTAGCCGAGCTCTGATCTACACTTACTTTTTTCTCATAGCTGATCTGAAAGTATTTGGTTTGTGGGGGTAAAATATGAACATCTATGTCTTCACCAGAAACATTGACTAGATTCTGTGGAAGAAAAAGAAGCATTTAGAGTAAATGCAGTGTTTCATTTACATATTACTCTCCTTTGTTTATACTTCATCTTGTTCATAAAGAAATTTGAAAGGATTTTTAAAAAATTTAATGACATGAGACATATCACCTATCATCTACAGAATAGCAAAATATGTCCCATGTGCCTACTGCTCCACTGAGCCTGCAGCCCTTGAGACCCCCTTGGACATATAGCGCCCTCCACCCAATCTTTCTCCCTCAGAACCGCTGGTGGCTTTGAACTGCTGACCTTTGAGGATTCGAGCCCAATGCATAGCCACTACACCACCTGGGTGCCTCGGATGGAGGCCACTAAAAAATACAAGGGCCTTCAAAAAATGTGTGGACAAATGGACTTAACAGATCATGGGATTTTGTCATGGAAATTTTGAAGGCTTCACAGCAGCAGCAGCAGCAGCAGCAGCAGCAATGGTCTATGCACACCAACGATCACAAAGGTGGCACAGGGCTGGGCAATGCTTTAGTCTCTGCAGCAACGAAGAACAGCTTCTAGTCTATATATGGGCAACTGAAAAAGAAGTGAAGGTCAGGTGTTCTAGACTTCTCCAGAGGTTGTTCTGAATCTTGTGGGACATCTCAGTCAATTGGCATGACGTAGTTTATGAAGTTTATGTTCTCTATCCTAGTTTCGTGAATAATGCTTGAGGTCTTCAAAGCTTGGGAATAACCATCTTGGGACTAACCATCTAAGATACAACTATTGGCCTTCACACCTGGGGAGCCAAAGAGAAGGAAAGCAACCAAAGAATCAAAGAAAAAACGAGTCCACACGACTAATAGCTACATGAAAAATGATCTCTTCTTGTCAGGGGAAAGGCCAGCCCCTAACCCATCATCACGGGTCCAGTAGGTGCAATTGTACAGCGATAATAAGTAAAGATTACAGTAAAGTCATAGAGCGCATGAGAGATAGAAGAGAGATTGAAATAATGGAGTCAGGCACATCTCATGGTAGCATGCTCACCTCAGCCTCACTTGGTGGTCCATGTGGAGAGAGCGATTTATTGCTAACCAAGGGTTTTACATTCTCTGGGGATGTGCAACCCCCCTAATTACAGGTGAAGACATACGTCACAGAAAAGGGTTGTGCTATAGGTAATACAGTAATGGGAGGCGGGTGATCTAGGGGTCTACACGTAATAGGAAGAGGAGGGGTTGGGGTATAGATGTGACAAAATGGGTGGATCCTACATTCAGGATGGCAGCCCAACTTTGGATGTCACTGAGCAGGTTTGACCTGTTCTCTGGCTCTCCATGGAAACCATTATCAGTAGGGTGTAAAGCCACCCTGCAGAGACCAAACTGATGACAGCAAGCCTTTAGGGAGAAGTAGCCCATTGTCCTTAACAGCAGGCAGTGGGCCCTACCTGTGGTGGGACCAGACAGTAGTCTGGCAACTGAAGGCCTTCAGGGAGGTAACTTGACAATGACTTACCATTAGCTGCAAGCAGTGTCCTAAGTCTAACATATATTTGGGGGAGATGGCTTGGGAGACATCTTTCTGTTTCCCACATCTCCTAATCTGAGATCAGAACTGAGTAGTACCTACCTACCACTACCAAGCATTCTGCACAACAGAAGCTCTTGCACAGAATGAAAGAAAGATGTAGACTGACCCTCAAATGCCTAAATCAAGTCCAGACTTAAAGAACTTCTGACACCATCACCTTCAGATACTCTTTGAACTCTGAACCGAAGCTGCGCCAGGAGATCACTTTTCAGTCAAATAATAGACTGGCTTATCAAATAGACATGATCACCGGTGAGTACTGTGCTGCCTTAGCCAACTGTATGAGACCCAATGGTGACCATGTTTCCTCTCCAGCAACGATGAGAAGGAAAGAGAAACAGGGTCGGTAGATTAGTGGAGAAAGAGCAAGCAGAATGGCAATCACGAGAATGCAAGAATCTTGCATCTACGCTCACAAGGGCTATTGATCAGTAGTTTTCTATTCTGATAATGGCTTTGCCTGGTTTGGGTAGCAGGGCTATACTTGGGTCGTAAAATGAGTTTGGTAGTGTGGTCCTTTTCTATGCTCTGCCATAGTTTGTGTAGAATTGGCGTTAACTCTTCTCTAAATGCTTGGCAGAATTCCCCAGTAAAAGCTTCTGGTCCTAGATGTTTTGTTGTTGGGAGGTTTTTTTTCACACGCATTTTATTTCATCTCACGCTTTACAATCCTCTTAATGTACGATTTTTTCAATGGTTTTATTGGCACATGATTTACATATCATATTGTTGAATGGTTCAATCATTCAATCATATCAAGGGGGAATTGTAGAATCACACTGCATCTATCCTGGAGCATTCCCTCCCATCATGGTTGAATCATCCCCAAAATGAGCTGCACAGTTGGCATATATTTCATGTATCATGAAATTCAATAGTTCAGTCATACTAAAGAGGGCCGTACACTCTTCTCCACAATCAATTTTAGAATTACTCCACAATCAATTTTACAATTTTAGAATTGATTTACAATCAATTACTTCTTTTTTGTACTCGTTGTTACCAGTTCCCCAACTCCCCCCAACGTACCCTACCAGATCCCCCAAGAAGCCATCAAATCAGTTACTCTCTCTATAGCGCTATTCATTCTGTATATCAGACAGATAAAGAGTACACAGAGTACAGAAAAACAAAACAAAAAGCCACTGCACCCTGCATGATAGCAAGGCCATTCACATCCCTGGTCTATGGTCAGAGGGGATTCACCAAAGGCTTAATCTATGTGTATGTAGATGGTGCAAATGGATTTGGGGCTCCAACTGTCATTCACAGCTTTCCATAAACTGGGTACTCATAATTTAAACCCTGATAGCATTCCCTCCTTTGGGTTTGGATTTTATCATTCACAATCCTTGGATCACACTGGCTGGTGTGCTTCTTCTGTGTGGACCCAGTAGACATCTCACTCAGATGGCTGCTTGTTTGAGACAAACCTTTAAGACCCCCGATGCTATTTCTTCTTTTGTTATACATCTGTTAAGGTTTTCTATTATCAATCTGTGTTAACTTAGATAGACAATCTTCTTCTAGATCTTTGTTCATTTCTTTACGTTTTTTAAAATTTGCTAGCGTACAGTCCTTCATAATCTTGTGTAACTATTTTTTCTATTTCAGTTGGTTCTGTTGTTATTTAATTTCTTATTCATAATATTTATTGCTGTCGTTTCCTGTGTTAAATTTGTCAGAGGTTTATCAATATTGTTAATCTTTTCAAAGACCCAACTTGCTGTCTTGTTGCTTTTTTCTATCTTCTGATCCATTTAATTCTGCTCTAATCTTTATTATTTCTTCTCTTCTGGTGGTGATGGCTTTGTTTGGCTGCTATTGTTCGAATTATTGTAGGTGTTCTGCTAAGGTGTGAATTTTGGTTCTTTTTCGATGTGTGCAGTTATTGCTACTTATGTGTGCACAAATTTCCCTTTGAATATGCTTTTGCTGGGTGGAAAAGACGTTGGTACTTTGTTTTGTTACCATTTGTTTTATGAAAATTTTAATGGCAAAGTGCCACAATTTGGTACACACACACACACACACACACACACCTACTTTGGGTATATATTCTTTTGGTGGCACAGTGGGTTACATGTTGGGTGACTAACTTCAAGGTCAGCAGTTTGAAACCATCAGCCACTCAGAGGGGAAAAGATGAGGCATTCTACTCCCATAAAGAAACCCATAGGCAGAATCCGCTATGTGTCCGAATCGACTCGCAGGCAGTGAGGTCTTTAGATAGAGAAGCATAAGGGGAAAAAGTTACCCAGACGTCTTTCAACTTCTGGGGAGCCCTGCACAGGGGCAGTTGTGGTGAAGGTGTGAGCCCTGAGGATGAAGGAAGGTGTGTGTGTGTGTGTGTGTGTAGGGGGGGGATAGGGGGAGGGCAGGGGGAGCAGTCATTCCAAGAGAGACTGCGAGGATAAGTGTGCTGGGGTCCCAGGATCCCAGAGCTTGCACCCATCACATTCAGAGTCCTGCGACGGTGGAGCCTGCCTGCAGACAGAGAGGAGAGGCAAGAACTCAGTCAGAACTGAAAACCGCAAGAAAGAGCTCTGCTAGGGAGGTGGGCTATGAATGCCTGGAGCTGGGGGTCTAAGAAGAACTGGAGCAGAAGCAGTTCGAGTACCCGTCAATTATTCAAAATAATTCAGTAAAGACAACTATTTAGTTTTAAAGTGTACCCCAGAGGCTGTTACCCTTTGAAAGACTCCAAGCAGTAGTTGGCATCGAAAGCTCTTCACACTGGATACTTGCTCCAGTAGTATAAACGAAGAGAGTTTTCATTATACTAATTGCAACTGACACTAGAGGGCCTTCCATTAGTCCAAAGATGTTCGAGTTCCATGGATTAACTAGAAACGCCATTGAGGCATTTCTGTTCTTGAACAAAAGGGATATGAGAATCCGGGAACCCCAAGTCCACTGCCCTTCCGAGTGACATTCAAAGACTAGGCATCCTTCAGGTCCTGCTTGTGTTTTGCACTTAAAAAAAAGGTCTGCCAGCCCATGAAAGGTGAGCCAGTCCTGCAATGGAATGCTGCTGCATCTGCTGCCAGCAAGCTCTCTGGCAGGTGCTGCGACTGCTGGAATTTCTCAGCGGTGACAAGCATAATTATTCTTTTTTTTTCACGTGTTCATAGGCGTGGCAGAATTTCTCCTAGAAACTCTTGTCATTGCAACAGGCCACCTGGTAACCAGATGGCTGGGGAGGGGACGCATAACTCCCACTTCCCACTACTGGAGTGTTAATATCAGAGACAAACAAGCAAACAAAATCACACCAAGCCACTGCCATTCAGTCCACGTGACTCAGAGTGAATCTGCAGAACTGGTTTTTTCCCTTCAATTTCTGAGGCTGGAAATCTTTAGGGCAACAGAATGTTCCATCTTTCTCCCATGAGTGGCTGGTGGTGTTGAACTACTGAGTATGAGATAAAGGCTTAACCTA